AACATGAAGGGCATTCTTCTGACGCTGAGCCTAATGCTCTGGACAGGCAGATGATGGGGACCTCCAGGGACTAAGGGTCCCAGTCAGCACACAGAATTGGAGCAGTCAAAGAGGCAGAGGGCAGTCACGGTGCGCTGGTGACTTGAAGACCTCAAAGTGGCTCACAGGCGGGAGAGGTATCGTTTCGCAGTGTGACAGTCTATGGTCACAGAAGCAGCTGCTTCTAAGAGACAGAAGCTACCGGCTCTGGGTTGGGTGCTGACACCTGGTGCCTATCACCCTGAAGTACACGGATTGGGGGCACTGGTGCTGGAGTGGGCTTGGTATTGTAATAATAATTATATTAAAGTAATTATACTTTTATCGAAATATCAAGCACTTTGAAATAGAAAGCAGAGCAAAAGACTGTTATTTTTATGCATTATATTTGTTTTAGTAGTTGAATCCCACATAGCAGTGATACAGTTCTGTAAAGACAGCCTGGGCTCAAAAACCTCATAGCATAATTAAATATCTCTCTCAGTATTGAGGAGGCTCACACCCCACAAATACATCATCTAAGATTGTAAATGTTGGGGATTTAGCTCAGCGGCATAAGCGCCTGCTTGGCAAGTGTGAGGTTGTGAGTTCAATCCCCAGTACCACAGATTGTAAAGGTTATTTTGTGACTGGTAATCTCATGTTGATGTGGTCATTTCCCTCATGGGGATTTTTTATTTTTTAGAAGGAACAACCTGAGCTCCATCAAGTGTGTATTTTCAATAAACTACTTGCATAAGCTTTTTAACATATATAAGCTTTTAATTTTATTTTTATCTTTTTATCTTATTATTTTCACCTTTTTATCATAGAGAACCCTTTCATATCAAAAGTATATTTTTACATTTATAGCAGTTTTAGTATTTTCTTTTGTTATTATAAATCTTTTTATGATGCATTTAATTTGGTTGCAGCACACTGAATTTCAAAATGTTTCTTGTTTTCAGATGGCAAACTAGGCTGGTGCCAGCAGACTACTAGGTATCCTTGAATTACTATTTTTATCTCAAAACCACAAAGCAGAGAACAGGTTAATCCCATAATTGTCATATAACAGTTTGTAGCGTACAAGAAATGTTTTATGTATGTAACGATTAAAATTTGTGACTTGAGGAAAACCTGTCGGCCTGATGGGACTGTGGTCATTTCCTGAGGCATTTTTAATTGGCCTGTCTGTGGCATCCTATGTGTACACCCTGTTGTAACTTTTTATATCTTCATTTACTACAGCACGGGTCACTTTTTAGAGTACATGGGCCTCCCGGGTGGGCACAGCAGTATTCGCAGAGGAGATGAGCAGAGGTGATGATCCACGGACTCTCTGGAGTGGGGGCGGAGACAGGGGCTTGGGATGCTCCAGTTGTTGCCCACATATGGGGGAGGGAAGCCCTGGCAGGACAGGGTAAGTCTTTCAAGCTCTTAATTCTTCTCGTGTCTAGGGGGTTTCTGCTCTGCTTTCATTATCAAGAGAGTTCCCTTTTCCTGGCAAGCACTCTTGGAGCCAGAGTGGCAGATTTTGGCACAGATTTAAGACACGATGTTGGGGAACTGATTTAGGTGACATTTTGTAACTGGGCTCAGTGATCAGGTTTTATTTTTATCATGCAACCTTTTGTAAGTTTTGGAGTTCATATATATTTTAGAGTATCTGGCCAATACCCATCTTGACTGCTCCCTAAAGTATTTGTTTATGAGCACTTAAACAGAGTTGCAACGAAGGAAGGGAGGTGCTCAGGGAAAGAGAGCACTGACAGGTGCCCCACTTGGGGCTTAAATAAACTCCACAGTTCTAATCTCCCCTGGGGTGGTGCTTTCATCGAGGAGCATAAGGACTCCTGTTTAAGTCCTTCTTTACAGACACTGCTAAATCTGAAACAAAGCAGGCGGAGTGTAATCAGGGTTCCCTTCATTCCAATCTGGGAATGGAATCAGAATCGGGCTGGGACTAACTCATGGGTGCTTGGGGAATCCTACCTTTCGTTGGCCGGTGGCTTCACTGTGTTTTGCATCCTCTTAGGGTCCGATGAGCTCACTATTGCCACACAAGGCCTCCCACTCCTCGACTGTTGAGGAGCCTCCCAGAAAAGAACTTCTCATTTGCAGGCTGGTGGGTGAGTCCCGGTGGTCAGCTGGCCTCCACCAGTGACCACAATGGCTAGCTCGGTGTCTCTAGGAAAATCCTGGATTATGATGTTGAATTCAGAACCAGACTCAACAGAGACTTAGCACCACAAGGACATTAGAAGGCAGCTTTATTACACTAGCGGGTTGACAGGAACCTCAGTCCCAAATCATCAGCAGTAATTAGAGTTTTCCAGTTATTTACATATGTCTCCAAAAGGGAGTGTCAAAGGCACATGACCTAATATCCTACAGTTGGGTATACACATCTTTGTCATCATTTGCTAGGTAGAACTCACTCTGACAGAAACAGCAACTAAATGAGATTACATGATTGACACTGGGCAGAGATGTCCTTGCAGTGATCACTCTCTGGAACTGGGAAGCAAGAGAAACCTTCCTGGCTGAGCTACACTGATCTTGTAGTTGGCATCTCGAGTGTCAGGCTCTGTGGAGGCAACTCCATTGACTCTGCTTGAATGCAAAACAATTACTGCACCTCTGATTATTTGGAGACTTATTTCATTATGCTGATATGTACAGAACTGACTATGGTACTTCCTTCTCTTTTCAGTTGGCTGTAAGCATTGCAAATAAGGCTAACCAGGTACTGGTATGTAACCTCCAAATCCCACAGACAGTCCTGTTTTCTCACATGCAGGATGCTCTAGCTAATGCTCAGGGAATATCAACTGAGTAGGAGTTTCAAGATAAAGAGGCTATGATTCTCTAGGGCACAGGGAATCTTTTCTGCATATCAGAAACCAAAGCAACAGCCTCCCAAGACAATGCAGTTGCTACCTTAATTAGATTATATGAATTGATCCTTCTGCATATCCTTATCTCTTCATTTTGCAGAGATGCTTTTCTTCCCACCTGGCCAGCCAGCCTAAGTTACTCACCATCCTCACGGTCACTCATTCCTGAGCCACCCCCCTTCTTCACAAGATAATAAATTCTGGGAGAGGCCTAGGATCAAGGCCTTTGTCTCTCGGGGATTGGACTTAGGACCTTTTGGCTGCCTTTAACTTGGAATATGTCTTGGTGTTTTTACTCTTACTGTCGGTTGCATTGGTGGTGGTAGATAGATTGGAATTAACTTGCTGGGATTCCAGTAACGTCTCAGTGGGATTACAAATGTAACTTTCTGGATTTTGAGGAATACTAGAAAGAGGATTACAATACTTGGATGACCGGACTTGATATTTGAGGTTACAATAAGGCTCGGTAAGTTTTCTAACCATGGGAACAGCCTGTGACTCCTGGTTGGTGTCCTTTTTGAATAGTGTTAGAAATATGCTTACTATTAGAAGTTTTAAATGTTCCCTATATTAAAATAGGTTCTACACTTATTTTTCAGCTTCCAAACCCAGGGCCCCTGGGGGCCCTCCCGGTGGTGACTCCCTTGTGGAACACTGAGACAGCAGGTGTTGGCTGTGGGAGACACCAGGGATCATGAGAAGAGGCCTGGGTTCTGGTGCTGGCTCTGGGGCCAACTCCCAGCCTTGGAAGCTCGAGGGCCTCTGGGGGAAGCTGCCTGCTTCAGAAGCTGGGTGTGGAAGGACTGGTCAGTTCCTTGGAGCTGACTCTCAGCACCCCAGGCAATCTGGCCCAGTATTGGGTTTATGCTGGGTTCTCCAGACCTTGGACAAACTTTCGTCTGCCAGATGCTCAGAACCTCCTAGAGCTTGGAGTGCATGTCTGGAAGGAGATGTGAAGAACATGGTTCTGGGGACATCAAGACCTGGATTTACAATCAGCTCTGCCCTCATGCTACACTGTGTAGCCTCAGTGTATGACTAATGTCTCTTTGACTCATTTACATACAGAAGTGACGGTTATTGATGAAAAAACACCATCAGGGTTTTAGGCTGTGTGGGCCATCACGTCTGTGCAACAAGTACCTGTCTCTGGCCCGTGGCAGCCACAGACGACTGCAAACATAAGCAGTGCACACACTGAGTCTCACATAGCACGCTCACAGCTTACACACGCACGCACTGTCGGGCTGTACGGGTGCACAGCACGCGAACACAACACCGGGCTGCAAAAGGTCAGAGTGACAAAGCTTCAAGCTTCGCGCGCAGCAGGTGATCTCGGTTGCAAGAAGTCCACGCCCTGCCCGCGCATGTGCAGCTCTATCCGAGGGGGGGCGGTGGGTCGCAGAGCCTCCTGGGATATGTAGTCTGGGACCTCGCCAGGGACTCTGGCCTTCCAATTCCATGGGAGACTCCACCTCTGGCCTGGAGGGACGTCCCTCTGCCCCTCTCCGGGTCAGTTTATGCCCAGACCGGATAGACTGGAGCCAGAGAGCCTGAGACCCTCTCCTTGGGAGTGGCTCTCCAGTGCACTTCACGCCCCGGAGGCTTCCGGGAGTCGCAGGCTAAATTCACAGTGCGCGCGCTCGTGCAGGCCGCGGCGGGTTTGAACCCCACTGAAACCTGGGGAACAGGGCCCAGTGCCGCGGCTTCTGAGACATGCATATGGGGGCCGGCAGAGCGGCGAATTGGGAGGTTTAGATTTGGGTGAACAGAGTAGAGTATTAAAGGCCGGGGATATAACTCAGCGGAGCATCGCCCGCCGGCAAGCGCGAGGTCCTGAGTTCGAGTCTTTATACCCTCAAGAAAAAAACAAAAAACACAACCCAGATCAGAATAGGTCTTCAGCATCTAGGCGCGCACAGTGTCCTCCTGAAGGGTGGGGAGCAGTGTCCCTGAAGGCCCGGCACAAGCAGGCTGTGGAGCTCCCTGGTTTTGCACAGTGGTGCATAGCGGACAGCTATGCTCTGATTGCACGAGTGTAATCTAATGTTGAGGAGGTGGAGCCGCGGGCCAGGGGGGTTATCACTGTGATCGATGAGCGCATGCTCGCCTGAGGCGGGTCCTCACAGACCACAGTCTGCCCTGGAGGTGGGGCCTCGAGCACCTACGTGTTGTGCTATAAGGGGCGGAACCCGGGCGAAGGTGCAGGGGCTCGGGTGGGTGGTCTGCACGCCAGTGGGCCGACCCACAGGGAAGCAGGCGAGGGATGGACAGTGAGTATGGGCTCCGCGAGTGCAGCTACGCGGGCCCCTTAAACTGCGCGGGGCCGTGGCCCCCTCACTATGAGGCTCGGTGGTGCCTACGTGGGGTGGGCGGCGCGGCCGCGTGGACCTGCAGATCGGTGGGCCGCACGTTCATGTGGGTCGGGAGATCGCAGCTGTACCGGTGTGACAGCCAGCGAGGCAGCGTCGTGGCTCCGTTGGTGGCCGTGGATGCGAGGGGACGTGTTTGGTGGCCTGGGTGAGCGGCGTGGTGTCCTCCGTGGCGTTGGGCAGAGCCCACGGTGAGCGCAGCTCCGCGAACACGTGTGGCGGTCACTGTGTGGCGGTGCTGCCATGGAGCAGCTCCGTGAGCGTGTGGCTGCGTGGCTGCTGTGGAAAAGCGCGCTCCTGAGCGGAGGACTGTGGTGTGACCCTGCGAGCCGGAGATGAGGGTGAGGCCGTGCCTCGGTGCTGGTGGCACGGTTCACTGTGGTCACGGCTGGAACGGGCCGCGGAGCCTGGCGCGTAGCAGCGCGGTGTCCCGTGTTCAGTTCGGGCGGGATGTGGCCGAGAGTCCCGAAGGGCCCGGAGCTGCCGGAGCGTCTCCCGTGGCGCGGTGGCGCCCCCGCTGGCCGGGCGCCGCCTCGCTTGGTGTCCAGGGCTGGCGCACGCGGGGCTGCGGGGCGACAGTGTCCCCTGGCGGGGGAGGGAGCTGGGGTGAGCTAGGAGCCCTGTCGGGCTGCTGCGTTGGGGGTCCCGCGCGCGCTGCGGCCTTCTCCTCGACCCTTCGTCACAAGAAGACTGGTCGCACACTGACTTTTATTTTTTTACTTTTCTCCAGATTTCAAGTTTTCCCAATGGGAGCATTAGAGCGCGTCCTCGCTTCTGCTGCCTGCCTGGGAACGGGTGCAGAGGCTGAGGCCTGGGGGCTGCGACCCGGCTCTGCGATGCGGCACCTCGGTGCAGTGCTCGGGAAGCGGGCAGCGGACTGCGAGCAGAGCCAGGATGCAGGTACCGCTCCGGGCGGCCGGGAGGAGGGTAGCGTTTGCCCCAATGGGAGCCGGTGGTGGTAACTTCAACCGCGTAAACGCAGCACGGACAGCCAGTGCAGTGGCAGAGCGCTTGCCTGGTGCGCAAAACCCGCGGCCACTCTGAGTGACCTGAAGTTGGCAGGAAGTCCTGCGACAGCCAAGGAGCAACGCGGAGGATCCAGCCTGTCATTTGTAGAACTGTCTTGTAAAAACTTGAGGCATATAATTTTAAATTCTGCAGTAGCCACATTAAGAAAAAGATGAAACAAATTTATCCTTAAAATTCATTTTTAAAATTTATTTTCCAAACCCACTTTATTTCAAGGGGAAAAAGAAAAAAAAAACTAAAATAGAATTTCAAAATATGTCGATCATTGGTAGAAGTATCTTTTATTTGGTACTGGGAAATGAACTCCTGACCTTGCATTTGCCAGGCAGGTGCTTATGCCGCTGAGCTAAACCCCGGGCTAAAATTAATTTTAATAATATGTTTTACTTCATGTATTCAAAGCATTACCATTTCAATATGTAACTACTAGAAAAAAATTACCAGCGAGCTACCTTGCAGTCTTTTTTCCATACCAGGTCTTTTAAACCTGATAGGAGGTTTAACACAGTCTTGGTCTCAGCCTGGATGCTTCCTCTCCAATGGAGCGTCCTTAAATGTGATGTGTCCTTAAATTTCCCAAAATTCATTGCTGAGGAAGTTGAGTCACATCCCAAGTTGTGGTAAATACACTTTCACAGTTAGTGAATCAAGTGTCAGTTTTTCATTTCAAATTCACAACAGTTTTATCTCGTAATTTTAAAATGTATTGTTTTCATAATTAATTGAAATTAAAATAGCTTCTCCGCTGCACTGCCCCCTCCCCCAGTAGTCATGTGTGGCTGGTGGCATTCATGTGGTGGTGGTGGGAGTGTGGACAGCAGAAGCCTGGCCTTGGCTGGGCCAGGGTCTTCTAGGCAGGCAGGTAGGACGCCCCTCAGGAAGTGGTTTGCCCCAGTCTCCTCTGCTGTCACCACTGACCACGGGCCCAGGGCAGTGTCCAGGTACCCAGTAGGTTTGTCACCTGGCTGAGCCATGCCTGCCATGCCTAGTCGGGTGCCCTGGGTGCCCTTCGGGGCACTCAATGGGACGGATGTACTGCAGTACAGACCTCTGGGCTTCCATGTACATAGAAGTGTGTGTGCGTGTGTGTGTCCAGGTGAGAGCTCAGGGTGGCTTAGGGTGCTTATGACTCTCTCCTCTGCAGCCCTGCCTTCCCTGCCTTCCCAGCTTCTGCGCTCCTCTGGATGTGATCCTTGCCGAGGAGCCACGATGCCGGCCACACGCGGCAAACCCAGGCCCAAGGTCAGTGGCGTGTGGCCCTTGTGCGGGGACGTTCCACCCTGTTGGGTTGGCTGGGCCTCCTTCGTTCCTTCCGGGGCCTTCCGCCCATGGAGACTTGGAACTTGTTCCTTCAGCATCCATGGGGCTCCCCGTGTATGAAGGACCCTTCCCTGAATGAGGCCAGAGTCCTGTGGATTCCCCGGTGTGGATGAGTGTCCGGGGGCCTGCCAGGGTACAGCGGGTGTGGTACGCCTTCCCCAGCTCTGTCTGGCCATTCTTCTCTGGTAAAGCCCGTATTAGCTTTGCAGAAGTTTCCCAGGCCAATCCAGCCGGGACCAGCCCTAGATGATCTCCCTGCCTTAAGGTCTCCCTGTGTTAAGGTCAGCTGGTTCTTGGCCTCGATTAAGCCTGCCCGTTGGGAGTCTTGGTCCTGTGTAACGCATTCCTGTGCTCTTCCTGCGGCCCGTGCTTGGGACCTGAGTCGCAGCCCAGATACCTGTGTGAGTCCAGCTCCTCTCCTGAACAACAGTGTGACCTGCAGTGAGCCCCCTCATGGTGCTGGGCCTCGGTGTCCTCCTCCGGGTCAGTGCTGTGATCCTGTCGGTTGTGCCTGGTCAGGAGCTCTGGAAAGAGCCTTGACTCTGTCAATGTCTTCTAGATCCCAGTCACTGGGTGACATCATCTTTAATGGTGAAAATGAGGTCACATCTCATTGCATTCTGTGTAGTTGGCACATCTGCCCCTTTGGCCTCAGAATCTCCATTGCTCACTGAACTTTTCCTAGCCCCACGTCACCCACATTTGGGCTGTGTCCCCTGATCCTCTAGCCCCGTGGGAGCTCAGGCTTGTGGCCAGGAGTGGATGTGTGGCTGTTTCCGTTTCAGGCACTGGTGACATTTGTGGACTTGGCTGTCTACTTCTCCCAGGAGGAGTGGGAATGGCTGAGCCCCTCACAGAAGGACCTGTACGAAGAGGTCATGTTGGAGAACTACCGGAACCTGGTGTCCATGGGTAAGGCGCTGCTCCCCCTACAGTCCAGCGCTGGTCCACTGAGGGTGCCTATCTCAGCCAGAGTCCTTAGAAAAGTGGCTGCCCCCCTGGGCGGAGCTGCTCAGTACAGCTGCCTTTGGCAGTTTCATTGACCTATCAATCACCTACTCTGTGGTCACACAGGTCACAGGTTTTTGGTGTAGTCCAGTTGTCCACCCATCACCACAGTCTACATTAGACCATTTTCATTATCTAGAAAGAAGCTTGTACCCTTGCCAGCCCCTCTTCATTCCCCTGCTGGCTTTTCCCGGGTTAGGCAGCCACTGGTCTGCTCTGCCCTGCCAGTCTGCCTGTCCCGGGCTTAGCACGCCTGTGGAATTAGGCGTAAGTGGCTTCTTCCATGCAGCGTATGTATTTTGCCTGTGGGGCTGAGAAGCACTGTTAGAACGTGAACAGAGCATAGTCGCCAATGCTAGGGGTGGTGGGAATAGAGGCACAAAGCCATAGTGTGGGCCTCTGGAATGTCTGACCTACTGGCTCCACACTGGGGGTTCCTGCGACCCCTCCTTGGATTTGATCATCTGTGAGTAGCTCACAGGGCTCCGGGAAGCATGTTTCTTAGGGTTGCCAGTTTAGTATGACAGGCACCGGGGTTAGTGAGCATCTAGCTGAGAGATGCAGGCAGCCAGGACAGAGGGGCACGTGCTCCTGGGCTGCTCTGGGCTGATCCCTGGAAGTCCTGCAAGTTCCGTCCCTCAGGCTCTTGGAGGCTGTGGGATGCATCCTGAGTGCTGGCTCCTGGGCACCTGCCTCCAGCCTCCTGGCCTCTTGGACATGGGGGTGGGTTTAGGTCCCCAACCTCTACTCACTGCTTGGTCCCTAGGAGCCTTGACCACCAGGCCGCTCATTCTCATGTGACAGATGCCACCCCAGAAGCAGATGTTTTTAGGGGCTGTTTTCAGGAAACGGGGATGGAGACCCCATCCACACTTCGTGGTTGCCGTGCCCCCAGCCATGCTGCTTTGCCTCCTCCCTCTGGCTCAGGGCTGGGCCTGACCTCTGGCGCCCACCTCATGGTCCACACCCATGTCCAGGTCTGTGCCTTCGGAGGCCAAATGTCATCACCTTGCTGGAGAAAGGGAAGGAGCCCTGGATGGTGGAGCCACTGAGGCGACGCTGGGCCCTTGGTGAGTGAGGGGAAACTGAGGCATGTGTGCATCTTACCGGGTCAGGCCGCTGTGATGACGCCGTACTCTGGGTGGTGTGGAAGCCGTGGGGATTCATTTATTTCTCAGTTCTGAAGTTGGGAGTCTGAGGCCAAGGAGCTGTTGGCCTCTAGTTCATAGGGGTGCCTTCGTGCTGTGTCCTCAGGCGGTGGGGCAAGGGAGTGCCCCACTCTGCTCTCCCACCCCACACCTGGGAGTCCTGAGGCCTGGACAGGGAAGCCAGGTTTCAGGGTGAGCCCTTAGATGGTGAGCAGCCAGCGCCAGGCAAGCCCCTTCTTGAAGCTGGGCACTCACATGAGTTACCCCGGCACTGCCTCAGGAGCTGTTGGTACTAGTTCACAGAGCCAGCGTGGGTGCAAAGGGGTGCAGTGCCCTTTCCAGGGTCCCCTAGGGGCGTGTAGAGGGCCACAGTGCCCTGCCTGAGTCTCCCCAGCCAGGGCATGGCACAGACTGGGGTTGGGAGCTTGGCTCTGTGGTGTCACCTGTCCCACTAGCAACCCTACATCTCTGCTTTCGAGTTTCCCTTCTTGTGATGGGTAGCGTACATCACCATAATGTTCCGGTTTGTACCTTTTTTGTCATTCTTTTAAAAAATTTAATTTTAAATTTTAATTTAATTTTATTTATTTATTTTTTTTTGTCTTTTTCCTTTTTATCGGTACCAGGGATTGAACTCACGACTGCCTGCTTGCAAGGCAGGCACTTATGCCACTGAGCTAAATCCCCAGCCCTAACTTTTAATTTTAAAAAATGTAATTTTCCCACAGCTTTTCTCTTTGGCTGCTTTTCAAGGACTCGTTTGCTTTGCAGCTGGGTTTCCCTTGTCTCTTTGGCCAGCCCAGTCCTTCTCTGCTGGTGGAGTGTCTGTCCCTCGAGGCCATGCTGTGGAGGACCTGGGGGTCAGCACTGTGAGGATGGGAGCCTGGAGAAAGGCTCAGCTTGGGCTGACTGGTGCCTTCTAGCCTTGGGGCCGTGCAGGGAGGGTGGGGGGCTCGTCTTTGTGAGCAAAATACTGTTTTCAAGAGGGTTACTGATGAAATTTAGCGGTGTGACATAAAATTTGAAACAGGCAAAAGCAGTTACAATGGGAATCAGAAACGATACTTATTTCATGAAATTGTCATAGTCCTCGTAAAATTCTCAGGCTTCTGTGTTTTTCACACTTTGTTCTCGTGGTAATATGTGGTGAGTGGCCTGCTACATTGCTGTTTCTGTTTAGAGCCTTGTTTTCTGTGTAATGGAACAAGGGGAGCTGGGGTGCCTGTTTTCTGTAGTTCTGAGCTGCAGAAGTAGGGTCCCTGCGTCAGAGGGTGGGACCATTTCTCAGATCCCAGATATTCTAAAATTGCCTTCAGGATTGTCTTCCTGAGGATGATAACTGAAGGCTGTAAGAAAGCTGCTTGCACTTTGGAGTTTTTGTTCCCAAAATACATCAAAAATCAATGAAGCTTTGGTTCCCAGATATTTTAATACTGGGCCTGCAGATAAGAGTATGGTACATGCCAGAAGGGTTTTTTTTTTTTTTTTTTTTTTTTTTTTGGTACTGGGGATTGAACTCACAACCTCAGGTTTGCCAGGCAGGCGCTTATGCCACTGAGCTAAAATCCCTGCTGTGCCAGAAATTTTGTACATGTGATTTGCAGTTGTCATGAAACCTGGATGGAGCTGAGGATTTAGCTCAGTAGCAATAAGCGCCTGCCTTGCAAGCGTGTGGTCATGAGTTTGATCTCTGGTACCGATAAAAAATAAATAAATAAAACAAATTTTTAAAAAAAACCCCTGTGAGGTAGGTTAAGTGTATCCATTTCAGACAGTGGAACAGCGACCCCAGAAGTAAAGGATCTGTCTCACGATGTAATTAGTGACAATTACTCCAGTAAACTGCTGGTCCATCTAAAGCAGAGGTATCGAGCAGAAATGTAATGTGAACCACGTATTTAATTGAATTTTTCTAGCGGCTGCATTAAAATAACTTTTTAAAAACAGGTAAGATTGTTGGGGATTTAGCATAAGCCTGGCAAGTGTGAGGTCTTGAGTTCAATCCCCGGTACCAAAAAAACCAACCAAACAGGGGCTGGGGATTTAGCTTAGCGGCATAAGTGCCTGCCTTGCAAGCAGGCAGTCGTGAGTTTGATCCCTGGTACCAATAAAAAGGAAAAAGACAAAAAAAAAAAAAAAAAAACCCCAACCAAACAAAAACCAGGTGAGATTAACTTTAATAACATTTTTTTAACCCAGTGCATCAGAAATACCGCAGTAGGTAATCTGCATTTCCACGATGAGACACTTCACGTGCCTGTTACTGACTCTCAGCTGTTGAGTTATGGTGTGTGTGTCTTGTACTTGGAGCCCACCCCACATCAGATTGACCACTTTGCAGTTCCCAGTGGCTGGCTGGGACTGGGGGCTCCTGTGTTGGAAAGCACAGATCTAAAGCCTACATTCTGGGGGCTAGGGATTTAGCTCAGTGGCATAAGCGCCTGCCTTGCAAGCAGGCAGTCGTGAGTTCAATCTCTGGTACCGATAAAAATGAAAAAGACAAAAATAAATAAATAAACAAATAAAGCCTACGTTCTGGTGACAGCGACAGTCAGTCTGCCATGTAGATAGTTACTGTAAGTCATAGTGGACATCTGTGGGTTATTCCGCTTTATTTTGATAAATAATACAGGTGTTTTTTGAAGGCTAATCAATTACCTTCTTCCTTAGAATTTTTCCTGCTTCTCTGAGTTATTTTCATCCTTTGAATAGCTACTGAATTCACTTGCCTCTTGGTTGGTTTGTGGTTTTAAAGATTTCATTTCAAGAATACTTTTTTGAACTTACAGCTTCATAGAAATAGAATTTATGTCATCAGATTCACCCGTTTTGAGAGTATAATTCAGCGGCTTTGTTCTGTCTGCTTGACATCTACCCAGTTGGTAGCCAACACTGTAATCCAGTTTGAGAACACTTTCACACCCCTGGTAGGATTCCTATGCCCATGTACAACCAATCCCATTTCTGCCTCCTTGACCCAGGCAGCCATCAAGCTTTCTCTGTTGATTTGCCTTTTATATGGCATTTCATATACTAAAAATATATTTGTCTGATGAACTACCTGAAGAGTTGAATATTGTATAACGTTTATCATCAAGATAACACTTTGAGTTGCTGTGTTTCAGACTGCAAACTTCCTGAATTGTGTTTATTAAATACATAAAGCTCTTATTATGGTAATAAGGTGACAATAGGACACTAAAAATTATTGATATGGTTATCATTGTGATAATCAGTAACAATGACTGCATTTTTATGTAAGTTTCAGTCTTTCCACACTGGAAAGCAAACATTTAATTTCTTCTTGTCTTTCAGCATCTAAGTCTGAGGCCAAGAAATCACCAAAGCTGTGCAGCAAATCTAAACAAATCTTCTGTCAAAGACCAGTTACTATGCAAGTAAAGATTCCCACCGGCAAGAGGGTAGAGTTACTCCGAAGAAAAGCCAAGAAAAGACTTCTACGGAAGAAATCTTTGAAATGCGAGGACTGTGGGAAAACCTTTAGCCAGTGCTCCTCGCTCAAACTCCATCAGAGTGTTCACACCAGAGACAGGCCTTACGAGTGCAGCCGTTGCAGAAAAGTTTTCAGACAGATCGCATCCCTTCTTCTTCATCAGAGAATTCACAGCGAAGTGAAAAGCTATGTGTGTGATCAGTGTGGGGAAAGTTTCAGTAAGAGCATAACCCTTATTCTACACAGGAGGATTCACAGCAGAAAGGAAAGTCCCGATGGTGGGTTGGCCTCCAGTCCCAGCTCATCTCTCAGCACCCTCCAGTGCAGGAAATGCAGGACAGCCTTCAGTAACAGGGCAGCCCTTTTACTTCATGAGAGGATTCATAGGCAAAAGAAAATACACAAGTGTAATACGTGTGGGAAGGGCTTCAAAAAGGAATCAGTGCTTGTTGCACACAGAAAAGCGCATACCAGAGAGAAAGCCCCCCAAAATGAGAAGACCTTAGGTCAGAATACACAGCGAAGAAACCGGTCTTTCAAAAATCCTTTTAAATGCAAAAAGTGTGGTAAGTCCTTTAGTAGGGTTTCACCTCTTTTGCTTCACCAGAAAACCCATACTTCAAAGCAACGCTACAGATGTGATGATTGCAGGAAGGATTTTCAGCGGCTTTCAGCCTTCATTCTCCATGTAAAAATGCACAAGGGCCAGAGGGCTTATCGCTGTGGTAAGTGTAGGAAGGCCTTCAGGCGGGGTTCAACCCTTGTTCAACACCTCAAAGTTCACAAGAGGAAGAAGAAGCTCTTGGAGTGTAAAGAGTGTGGGAAGATGTTCTCTGGACCCGCAAACCTGAAGATATACCTGAATGTACATTCCGAAGAGCAGCCTTTCAGATGCGCTAAGTGTAGCAAGGTGTTTGGCCGCCAGTCATTCCTTACTGAACACCAACGAATTCACACTGGGGAAAAACCCTATCAGTGTGAGGAATGTGGGAAAGCCTTCAGCCACCGGATATCCCTGACTCGGCATAAGAGAATTCACAGTGAAGACAGGCCCTACGAATGTGAGGAGTGTGGGAAAGCTTTCAGCCAGAGCGCCCACCTTGCCCAGCATGAGCGCATTCACACCGGAGCGAAGCCCTACATCTGTCAGACGTGTAGGAAGGCCTTCAGCCAGCGCACGTCCCTCATCCTGCATGAGAGAAGTCACACCGGAGAGAAGCCCTATGAGTGCAGAGAGTGTGGGAGGGCCTTTAGCAGTGGGTCAGACCTTATTCGACATCAGAGAAGTCATTCTGCACAGAAACCCTATGAGTGTAGTGACTGTGGGAAGGCATACAGCAGGAGCTCATCCCTGATTCGACATCAGGGCACACATACTGAAGACAGAGCCTGAGGTGGATTTCTGGTGCCTGCGTGCATGCGTATTTTGAAGTGATGCATTGATATATTTCCCAGGCTAGCCTTGCATTCTTGGGCTTAAGCATTTCTTCTGCTTCAGCCTCCCATGTCACTTTTTGAAGGCTATAAAAGCTAAGAACAAGGCTATCAAAGCAGTGAGAAGCCTGGGAAAACCACAGATGTCCTTGATTTATGATGCAGTTTTACTTGCTATTATCTCTTCATAAATTGAAAATATAGTAATCAGAAATGTGTTTGGGTCAGGTGTGATGGTGCATGCCTGTAATCCCAATTTTGGGAAGCTGAGGCAGGAGCATTCCCTTGAGTTCAAGGTCAGACTGGGCTACATCATAAGCTCTAGGTTATCTGAACTATGTACTGAGACCTTGTCTCAAAAAACAGTAACAAAATTAAAGTGTTTTACACCTAACCTACCGGACATCGTAGCATAGTGGCGTAGTGCAGCGTACAGTTCTGGTTGTTCACTCTCATTGTGTGGCTTCCTCTTCTGCTGCTGCCCAGTGTTGTGGGAGTGTCGTGAGAGTGTTGTGCCGCTTGGTGCTGGCGTAGGAACAGATCACAATTTGAAGTACAATTTGTACTGACTACACATAGCTTATACATCATCGTAAAACCAAAACATCCTAGGTCACATCATTGTAAGTTGGGGACAGTCTGCAGTGGTCCTTAACTTCTGTGTATGCAGAGCACTAGGTGATGTGCCTCCATTTGAAAGCCAAAGAGCAAAAGTCCGTGGTGACTTTTGATGTCAGGATTTGAAATCTCCCGCAATGAGCTCAGGAAGATTGGATGAGTCTTTGTAAGAGAAAACTGTCTTTCACTCCATATTTCTAGTGTAGTTTTGAAAATATATCACTGGTCACATTCAGTCAAAGAGAATCTCGAAGCCCGTTTGCAGGGATGGGGTTTTGTCTTCTCTGACTTAAGGTCATATGAAGAAAGAGTTTGAATTTGTTCCCCAGAGCTGGAAGGGTTTTCCTGGCAGAAGTGTGGCCCTTTCACCTGGCAGCAGCTCATGGGCAACAGCGAGGAAAGAGTCTTCGACAGCTGGAGGTGACATTCCTAATGGTGTGGAGCAGCCGTTACCTTGTGTCGTCTTCTTGGATATGACAGTGTGGCATGCAGACCTGCAGGCTGGAGGAGGAAGAGACAGGAGGCAGTGAAGAACGAGGAACTTCAGGGAGAAATTTTGTATTTGAAGATAAATTGTCTATATTCATATGAATAAATGTTCATTTTCATATAATGTGTGCAGTAAGCTTTGAAATACATGTCATTATAAGCTGAGTGTGTTGCCTTAAAATTCCTATGTTGAAGTGTGATGGTGTTTGGGTTTCCTCAGTGTGACAGTATGTGGACCCACCCTGTGTGACAGTATTTGCAGCCCCCAATGTGATTGTATCCCCCCCCACCTTGTGACGGTATTTGGAACCCCTGCCCCTGCCCCAGGTGATGGTATTCGAAAGTGAGGTGCCAGAGACAGATGAGTTCACAAGAGTGAGGCTTGCGAGGTTGAGGTGTTGCTGGTACAAGAGACGCTGGAGAACTTGCACGATTTCTGCATCATGGTATCTGCAAACCAAGAACATCCCTTGCAGGAAAGGACTTGGCCAGGCTGACTTCCGGCATCCAGAACTGGGGGCAGGGAGGGCCGTTGTTTAAGTCACCTGGTCTGTGGCACTTGGTTCCAGCACCCTGAGCGGTCTTGGGTATGGTGACTCCTGGGTTCCTGTACTGGGCCTTCTTTTCGGCTGCTTACCATATTGTGATGGTCACTGGTCCCCCATTCCAACTCGTGTGAAATATGTTACAAATAAAATGGGAGGCGTGTTTGTGGTCATGTGCAGTCAGTCTCTTCTGTGTTTTCCTTCCTCAAAAGCTACTTTTGCAAACACCTGAATCTTGTTAAGACAACTTCGTGGGATGTAGACCGCTGGGTTGGGTTAGTCAAGTGAGAAAACTGAACTGTGAGGAGTGAATATTAATACAGGGTAATGCAGCATCTAATTCCCACTTTCACTACTCTTTTAGACATGCAAAGGAACATTTTAAAAAATCGTCATTTGGAGCTGAGCATGATGGCTCACGCCTATCATCTCAGCACTTAGGAGGCTGAGGCAGGAGGATCGTTTCGAGTTCGAGACCAGCCTAGGTACAAAGTGAGCTCAAGGCCAGCCTGAACTGCACAGCGAGACCGTGTCTCAAAAAGACAAAAAAAAAAAAAAAAAAAAAAAAAAAAAAGAAAAATTATCATTTGGAGCAAATGGGAGTGTAGAGACAACTCAGAGAGGCTCTCCTTTCCCTTCCCTTCAACCCACATGGTCACACCCCTACCTGCTCATTCCTCTGCCCTCTGCCAGGTAGGCTCGGGGAGCAGGAGGGTGCCCCGCGTACCCCAGGGTGCTTTCACCAGTCTCACCTTACTGCCCGGTGAATTTCCCACTCCGCTTGATTTCAAGACTGCATTGGCAGAACCCTGCAAAATGAAGCTGACTTGGAGTTGGGAATGAGCATTGCTTTATTCTAGTGAGGCCCATCCCACGAAACTTTCAGCACTGGGAGGGAACTCTGAGGGCTCTGTTCCCTGAGTTTGAGGGCAAAATGCCTGGCTCTGGGGAATTCTAAAACAGCGGGCTCAGCCCCTGTCTTGAAACACTGATCAAGGAGCTGAACAGCAGGGAAGGGTGGAAGAAGGGTTTTAATCTATGTGGCCACGTCGGGGAGAGCAGGAAAGCTTTGTTCAAGGTCTGTCTCCCAGTAGCTGACCAAAGTGTTGGGATTTTATAGGGACCAAGAACAAAGGCAAGGATTGGGGTTTCCATAGTAGGGAATTTGCACGTCTGGCAGCATATGTTATCCTGGTCACGTAACGGTCTGGTTAACCAGGGTCTTAGATTCTGGGGAAGGCGGGCTGTCATCCTCGGAGGGAGAATTGGGGAGGTGATGGCTGCTGCTTCGGGGGGCAGCCTGGGTTCCTTCTGTGTGGTGTTTTCTCCTGGCCAGTGGCCTTGGGGTGGGGGGCATCCTCAAGGCACTTCTGGAATCCAGGGTGACTGCAGATTGCACACAATGACTTGGGCTTTGTGGATCCTGTAAAGGGTCTTGAACTGAGGATTGCAAAAGCTGGCAATCAGAGGTCATAGTTATTTTTCTTGTTGCTGAGTCAAAACACTTGGCATCTGAAGCTAAAGGAGGGCAGGTGTATTGTAGCTCAGTTTGTGGAGGTGTTGGCCCATAATGGGCTGCTCCCAGGCAGGGGGTATCACAGAGGAGAAACGGTTCATGGTGGGCAGAAGGAATTGAAGCAGTAGGAAGCAGCAGCTGGCAGCAAGGGGTGGCAGCAGCTCTGTCTGTCTCTTATCATCCGTCCCGCTGCATGCCCTTAGGGAGGACAGTGCTCACACCCTGGTGGCTTTTCCAGTATCCATGTCCAGAGCAGACTAATTTAGTAGTTACACACCCTTCACCCAGTGTCACACATGTAATCCCAGCAGCACACACTGTAGATCCAGCCAGCTCTGAAAAGCCCACCTATGACCACAGGAGGCTTTGCAGGGACATCTGGACATGTAACAGAGGTCCCTGAAAGTCCTGAAAACTCTTCAGGCTTTTTTTTTGCTTGTTTGTTTTTTGAGTCAGGGTCTCACTGTATAGATTCTATTTATTACAGTAGCCACAGATTCCATGTCACAGCACTTCCGTAGGATGCTCTTGTGGTTACACTTTCCGCCATTTGTTCTCTAAGCCACTGTCAGTTTGTTTGAGGTTGCTCTGCAGGTAACTGGATGAGATGCAGTGGGGAGAATAAGAGGTTGTTAGAAGAGAGGTGTCAGGACCTGAGGGAGACCTTGGAAGGGGAGGGCAGTGGTAGGTGAGAAGAAAAGATTGGTGTGGGTCCTGATTTTATTGGACTACTTTTCACTGAGTTGAAGACTTAGTATTGAGTATTCTCAAAGGATAGTTTGTGGGGGGAAGGGTGAGATACGGGAGAGAGGGGTCCACCTTGCAGTTTAGGAATCTATGTGGTTATAGCGGACAGTAAGCTAGGTAAGCTCAGCAAGGGCCAAATGCTTCGGACGGGCGGACCAGGAACTGTACTAGTGACTGTAGGAATGACTGTGCAGGAGGTAATACGATGAATTTAAGACTCGAGTAGTTCACATGTTTAGAAAACGAAAAAGTACGCTAATAATATTGTCTCAGGAATTTGAGGCTAAGAACATAAAGAGCTGAGATGAGGGGGAGAATCCAGATACCTATTAAATCAGAGGCAATCAGCCAAAAAATGAGTAAAACCTAATAAACACGTGAAATCATAAAAGGACATAACATAATCCCAGGTTACTAAATAAATCAAGAAATTAAACCAATACAAAAAAAATCACAAAAATTTAAACCAATGAGATATCTGATGGGAACCCACGATATTCCAGTGAGGAACTGCAGATGTAATTCCCTAGTAGCTTCTTGGCCAGAGAGCATGAGTGCCTTCATCCCAGTAGCCCCTCGGACCCCCCACACTGCAATGCTGATGCTAACTCAGATGCAGGATGTCTTTCAGCCAGGATGCAGGCGTCCTTGTCTGAGCTCTTGGGTCAGGAGCTCTTGCTGTGTCTCTCCCCAGGTGTGACAGTGGACTGGGCCAGAGTGTCACAGGTAATCAGCTGTCCAGAGTCCAATTTTCCTATGCAGTTATTTAGCTACAGGAGGAACAGGCTACTCCACTGCAGGGAGATCTCTCAGGACTGGCTGAAAAGTAAACACCCAAGACATTAGTGGGGTCTCCCTCAACCCAGAGAAGAGACACACTGCTATGGCACAAGCATGATAACAGCCCAAGCCTTGACCATGGTTAATGGGCACTAAATGAGATGGCTGTGTCTCCCCTACTGGTGAAAAGGAGTGTGCAACTCTAATTTTACAGAATCTGTTACCTAAAGCCCAGGAGGTTGTGGACCAGTAACACCAGAGGGAGAAAAGAAGACAAAAAGAAAGGGAAAAAATGAAAGTCCTCTGCTCTGTGGGATGGAAGGAATCAGCAGGAGGGGCAGAGGTTCCTATCAGTGTGAAGGGTCTGTTGCATATTCAGAAAGGGAAAACATGGAAAACTGCAAAGCTGGTAGTGGGAATTCGGCGATTGATAAAATACTAGAGAAAACGCTTAAGGGAGACTATGGAAAAGGTGGAGAGGAGAGAAAAGTGAAACTGAGTAGAATGCAGGAGGAGGAGGCCTGGTAGAGGGGTTGGGTAGGTAGGAGGGGCCGGGATGTGGAAATCCTCTCCCTCTCTGCGGACAGTGCTGGGAGAAGAACAGCAGAGGATGCACACAGACACGCTTGCAAGAGAAGACGTGTAAAACAGTGGGGCTGGAGCATAGGGGAAATGTACAGGGGGAGGCAAACAGCAACTATCAACAACAATATTACATTTAAAGTAAAATAAAAATGAAATATGAAAACAATACGACCAGATAGAAAATGAAGAAAATTTCCTCCTGTCTTGGACACGTGGTTGTTCTCCCCAGGCTCAGGGCAGGCAATGTCTCTGTGCATGCTGGCGGTCTTGGTGGCAGTGGTGACCTGCTCAGTTGGACACAGCGCCATCTGAGCCTGCTGGCCCGGACAGCTCAAGCGGACCCTGGTCTCTGACTGTAGGAGTAACCCATAGCACCCGCCTCTGTGGGGCTCTGCCGTCTGCCTGCTCTCTGATTGCCTCAGTTTCCCATGACTGCCCTTCCCTGATCCCCTCTGGGAACTTGGCATTGTGAAGCAATCAAGGCACTGTTTTGGGACCAAGTTTCAATACCCAGTCCCATCCTACAGTGGCATCCCTATCACTCCTGTCCTACACGACTGTGTTCTGGGGCCTGGGAGACCCCTCCCAGGGCACCAGTTATGGGGGACCCTGGCAAGTTTTCAATCTCCTTCCAATTGTTAAGGCACATGGCAGGAAGAAACAGGAAGAGACAAAATAGGGTTGCAGCGGGGATCTGGGGTGACCAATTGTTCTTGGGGAACAAAAGGCTGTGAGGCACCCAGAACCTTGGTGTTTAGTCTTTCTGTCTGAATCAAGGACAGTGGGTGGAGGGCAGTAGGTGTTTCAGAAGAAACAGAAGCCATGCTTTTAAAGTACCACAGGGCCAAAGGGGTTTCCTGTGGCCCTGTGGTGGTCTCTGGCTGTCAGGACTGCAAGGTCTCTGGTTTTCCTCACGACCCTATTCTGATCCATTCTCGGAGGAAAACAGAGGGAGGTCTCTCTAGATTTCTGGTTTTTCTTTTCTTTTTTCCCTGAGTGTTCTTTGCTCTCAAGTATTCTGTGACTGTAGCCCTGTGCTCTCCTGACTTCCGGCTCCGTCACTGCTGTGCAGGGAGACCTGTGCCACAGGGTACCTGTCGGGACTCACAGGATGGGCCTCTGAGGCTCACTGTCTCTCAGGGATCATTCACTGTCTGGCATCCAGCATTTTTAACACTAAGGTTTTGTACATTTTGTTGAGCTTTTTTCATGTTTTAGACAGGATAAGCCACTTCGCCAGGAGCCTAGGTCTCATACACATTTAAAGACAGCAGGAATCAATGTGAATCTAGGATTTATGTATAAAAAATTAACAGCATTGAAGTTAACATTCTTACACGTATACATGTGTCTTTGAAAAGTTTCACCAAATGTTTTTTGGATAATAAATGAGTTAAAGATAGACATATTTTAATGGAGCCGGCAGCCTCCTGTCCTAACCAAAGTAGTATCTATCTACAGTGAAGCAAAAGAGCCCAGCAGGTTTAGTAAACTATACTCGGAGCTGCCTTTCTCCTGCCGTCCAGACCGGGATACAGCGCTGAAGTCTTG